GGAAGGATTTTTTTTTTTCCTGAGGATCCTTATAAACAGAGCATTGTGTGATGTACTCAGGCTCTGTGGTATGGCATTCCTCAACATTTGCCTGCAGCATCACACTGGAGTGTGTGGTCCTTCCTGGAGTTCATCAACACAACCCAAAGCGAAGCAGAGGAGAACAAACAGTTTGCCTAGATAGACCACCTAAAAAGGATTTATGCAGCACACTAGGATAACCCTTGCTTAGTCTGAATAAATGGAATCTAATTTTTTAAAAAGAGTGTTATGATTTCAGTATGTGTTAAGAGCACAATCTGAAGCCAGGCTGCCTGGCTTTGAATCCTAGCCTTGCTGCCTATTAGCTGAGTGACCATGGACAAGTTACATAATCCTTCTGTGCCTCAGTTTCCTCATAGGGATAATAATATTAATACTTAGTTCAAAGAGTTTTGTGAGAAGAGCATGTGTTACAGTGCCAGGCACATAGTAAGTACTATTTAAATTTTTATTATCCTATTGAGGGCTTTGAACAAACCATGTAAAATGTTCTATACCCAATTCTAACGTGGATGGGAGGAGGGGGTTTCCCACACCGAGCAGTTCTCTGACACCAGCTGGGTGTCCTACAATTCAACTCAGTTCTGATACTGTCTACCTGGAGATAGTGTCAGACCCCACAGGTCAAGGGCTCAGTCCTACAAGACTGCCTTCTGCTTCAGATGCCCATCACAAGTCCAGGTTGTCATCTGTGCTTCTGACTGACCTTTGACTGTAGACCAGAGGTTCCCATGACCCCCTCCTTGGGTTTGATTAATTTGCTAGAGCAACCCACAGAACTTAGAGAAACATTTTACTTATTAGATAACCAGTTTATTATAAAAGGATATAACTCAGGAACAGCCAGATGGAAGAAGTACCTGGGGCAAGGTATGGGGAAAGAGCTCAGAGCTTCCATGCACTCTGAGTGCACCACTATCCCAGAATCTCTGTGTGTTCATCAACCTGGAAGGTCTTCCATCCCTGTCCTTTTGGGTTTTCTGGAGGCTTCATTACACAGACTTGGCTGATTAAATCACTGGCTGTTGGTAATTGATTCAACCTATAACCCTCTCTCCCCTCCCCAGAAATCAGGGGTGGGGCTAAAAGTTCCAACCCTTCATTCATGGTTGGTTCACTTGACAGCCAGCCCCCATCCTTAGCTGTTTTCCAAAAGTTTCGTTATTGACATAAACTCAGTTGTGGTGGGAATGGGCTTGTTATGAATAACAAAACACCCATTTCACCTTTGTGGTTCTGAAGGTTTTCAGGAATTGAGGACAAGAGACCAAATATTATAACAAAAGATGCTCCCATTGCTCTTGTTACTCAGGAAATTCCAAGAGTTTTGGGAGCTCTGAGCCAGGAACCATGGGTAAAGACTAAATATATATATCTTATAAATTATGGTATCACACCATCATATATATCTTCCAGGGTTCTGGTTCTCTATTTCTCATAAAATATTAGCCCAAAACTTAGTGGCTTTAAAAAGCAAGCATTTTATTATATCTTACAATTACCGAGGTTAGGAGTTTGGTTGGGCTCATATGGACAATTTTTCTGCTGCTCGAGGCATTGAGTGGGGTCATCCACTGGTACTCAGCTGGTGGCTGGGCTGAGCTGATCTGGAGGGCCTAAGATGGCTTTATTCACATGCATGGCACCTTGGGAGGGATAACTGGAAGTCTGGGACTGTCACACAGAGTGCCTATGCGTGACCTACCCAAGCTGGCAGCCTCTGTGCAGTCAGAGACCTCACATGGTGACTCAAGTTTCCCAGACTGGGTATTCCAAGATACCCAGGTGGAAGCTGCAAGACGTTTTAAGACTTAGCCCTAGAAGTTCCAGAATATAACTTCCACTGCATTCTATTATTCAAAGAAACATAGAGGTCAATGTAGATCCAAGGGGAAAACGATTCGACTCCACATCCCAATGGGAAGACAGTGAAGAATTTGCTGTCATCTTTAACCTCTCACATCAAGGATACACCCTTTGGTCCAACCTGGGACATGTGCCACTGCATGATTACATGTGAACATAGTCCTTTTTCAGTCTTGTTACCGAGTAAGGGCTGTCCATCTGATGCACACAGAAGCCAATGCCATGGTACCCCAGTCTTTAAGAGAAGAAACAGTTTATCACTTAGTCGATTGGTAATGAGACAGAGGAAAGGCTCTCAACTCTGTCTCCCTGATCCAGGGTATGGGGTAATGTTTAAGGGATCAGGGTGGGAAGGCTGGTATTTGGAAGCGCTGCCAGGATGAGTTTCAATTGGCAGATCAAAATTTAAAATTTTCTCTTCTGCGCATGTTCCTGGCTGGCTTCTGCCCCTGAAAAATAGCCTTAACATTCTGTTGTTAAGATGAAGTCAGCACAGAAAGCAAGGGTAAAGTTGTTGTATGGATTTAAGTCATTGCCTTGTCTATTGATAAGAGTTTCTAGAGATTTAGTCATCCTCTCCTTCCTGGCCCAGAAAGGGAGGCACCCTTACAAATGGAGATTTCTGTCATAAATGTAAATTTCCCTTACAAATGGGTAACTTCTACTAGGTTTTCAGAGCTTTCCCTGTCTACTGTTTCTTAAAAATAATCAGCCTAAAATAATTTCTATGCCAAAGAGACATATTTTGGGGTGGCGAGTTCTCTTCCTTGTCCTGTGGTTACAGTCTCACAAGTGCTGCTGGATGAAAAATAGCTCAAATATTTTCAGGAAAAATTTGTGTTTGGGGACTTTTGACCACAGAAACCATTGAGCTATTAATCATTTAATATTTTCTTAGTATCAATAAAACCTATTTTGTACTATAAACCATATGCAAGATTTCTTGATGTTAAGATTGGCTATCGCTGCTTTCGCTTCTGTGAATTGGGCCACAAGAGAATTCAAGCCCTTAGAACTTGGTTATGTGTTTAGGCATCTGTTACCTACATGAAGCTATTTGATGCAACCAGAGATCACAGCTCTGTATCCAAACTGCAAGACTAATCACTGTGCCAATTTTCAGACTTTATAGGTCAACTGAAAAGTGAATCATCTGTGTTAGAGACTGATAATAAAATATTAAGGTTGAACCCATTGCAAAAATGCCTACAAATGGAAGAAACCATGAGGAAGGCAGAAAATTGGATTTCAGCTATGTAATAAAGGAAAAGTGGGGAGTTGGGAAGAATGCAACTGGTCTCATATTTGTCTTTTACCTGGTAGAAGTCTCATAGTGGAGGATCCCAGAATAAATTTGCCCCTCACACTATCCAGTGAGCATACCATTCTGTTTATTCTTGTTTTCTTTGTTTGTTATGTTTTTATGGTGAATTTGAGTGTGTTTGGTTAGGATATTCATGCTACTCTTAGGCACAGTCCTCACTATACCTAATTGTTGTACGCTGATCTGCTTCACTGATGTACATTACTTGCCTAGTGCTTGAAACTTGAGAAGGCCTTATTAGCTCTATGGCTTTCTCTGGTCTTTAACATCTTTTTGGGTCAGAAGCTAATTTCTAACATGAAGGGAAGTGAGTACATAAAAAAATGCGTCACTCACTCTTAGCTGTTGAGGGTAGGTCCTAGAACTGGGGCCAAGGTGAGCTGGGGGATGAGTGGAATGATGCCTGTATAACTCAGTCTTGGGGAACTGGTACATAACAATCATATCACCCTCCGAATACTTTTGCTGGCTGTCTCATAGTTTGACCATTAAGGTTTCAATCCAATATTGAATAGATTGATCCTTCTCTTCATACTCCTTACTCTTGTATCTTATATCATCCATCTTAACTACCATCATGTCAAAGACTACCTCAAAAATTGTGGAAAAGGCACCATTTTAAAAGGATGGGCTCAGGAGAGTAAACTGCCTTCCCTGTAGCTATTTCATTACTTGGGCTGGGGTCATTTCCCCCAGGATCTGAGCAACCCGTTGCTAATTATATTAGTAGGGATTGCAGCAGACTCCTCAATACCTAATCATTGTAGGGAGGACAAATATTATATAAATCATTAGAATGACATGAGATTGCCTTTATTAGTCACAAATCAACCACATCTGATCAAGCCCGCCCTTGTTTTAACAGAGTAAATTCAAACAAAGTGCACTTAATAGATGATCCTATTTTGTTATATATGTTTGTACTTTCTGGAAGATATATTTTTCCCACTATGAATATGCATATTCTCTACATGTTTCTTCATATTCATTTCTCCTCCTTATTGGCACTTTAAGAATTTTCATGTTAGACAACAAGAAGGAATGTTCCTCAGGTCCTGCAGTAAGCAAATTGCTGGATTTCATTCAGGAAATTCTGGTATTGAACTGCCAATAATGGTTGGCCTTTAGTTAAGAGGTCACCCTTACTCTCAGCCCCCTATCCAAACATGATGCAATTTGAGACCCTCTGGGTTTCTCATTTCCCTATGCTTGTTGCCTTTAAGTCCTGTGTCAAGGAGTTATTCCCATTAGAACAATAGCAACAAAAACCCTTTGTTCTTTCCTTGGTCTCTTGGGTGGTTTTAGTGGTAATCAACTCAGACATACATTTGCTATTTCTTATAACTATGAATTCCACATCTCAGTGGGGTCATTACAGCCCTACAACATGAGATAAATGAAATTGTATGGAATTTTTCTGAGAGATTTCTAAAGAACAAAAGGAGTGTGTGTGTCAGAAGGAAAAATAGAGGTGGATGGAATCTATTCACACCTCCAAGATCATGGAAAGCTCCCTGTCCTTAAAATAGCTGCCCCTTGTGGCAAGTAATGCTTGTTGCTTACCCCAAATCGATTTCCCTTCTTTCTTCCTAGCAGAATCCCTGATTTTTTTCATGTAATGTATGTCTTTAAAAAGACCCATGTCCTGGAGTTCCCTTGTGTTAAGGAACTGTTCTGTATCTTGATTGTGATCATAGTTGTATGAATCTATACAGGTGATAAAATGTCACAGAACCTACACACAGACATATAAAAAATGAGAAGTGAGTTCATTAAAAAAACTGGTGAAATCTTAGTAGAGCTGGTAGTCTAGTCTAGTTAATTGTAATATGTCAATGTAAATTTCTTAATTTTGATAGTGTATTATAGTTATGGAACATGTAACTATTGGGGGAAGTGGTGTAATGGCTATATGAGACATCTCGGTAAGATTTTTGCAACTTCTTGTGACTCTATAATTATTCCCAGACAAAAACTGAAGAAAATAAAGATATTGACCTAGACCTCTTTGAAAATAAGGATACCCCTATGACTCAACTTTGACCAATGAGATATAAACAGGATTGCACAGGTAGTGGTCCTGGATAGGCTATCTTATCAACCTTAAAGGGAGCAGGCTACTGCACATGTTTTCATCTTTTGTTTTTTTGCCCTTCTTCCTGCAAGGAACACAGACACAGGGCCAGGTATGCAGCTGGTTTCCTGCAAGAACGAAGTAGGAAATTGCATAAGTAGGTGAAGAAGAAAATTAGAAGGAATTTGGGTTCTTGACTAGACTAGCCCAGGACAGGCTACTTTGGGGTTTTATATCATATGAGAAAAATAAACCCCTTTGCTGTTTAAGACTGTGTAGGAGCGTTTATGTTCTTTGATGTTGCACGTAATCCTAAATAATACCTTCTTCTTTGTTCCAAATGTAACCTTGGTCACCGAATGTCTGAGTACCAATGGATTTTTATTTCACTATCTTGAGAAGAACCATGGAGAATGCCTTGGATGACATTTTAGGAGTCCTATTTTCTTGTAACCATTGATCCTTGAGGTATTGGTATGCCTTTGAACAAGAAGTTCCATTTTCTGTAAGATGAGAGGGTTGGATTTAAGAACACTGAAGACTCTTGTTTGTATGATTAAAAACCTTGAACTAGGGAATGGATAATGATGGAATCTAGGGACATGTTAAATCAGTACTTAATGATCAAAGAATATTGATGGAGTAAATAAGCTGAAAAATAGATGGATAGTGGAAGGAAGTAGGCAGATTAAATCACTTTGCACAATTATTTACTCCCCTTTTCTTTGTAAGAAAATAATTGCCTATTCCCATATATCTTGCTGTGCTTCCTGGGAGAAGAGAAGAGTAGCCTCACTGACTATGGGCTTGGCCATATGACATGCTTTGGCCGATGGAATGTGAGAGGATGTGATGTATGCGATGTTCACACAAGAACTTTCAGAGGCACCACAAATTTCCATCAGATCTCTTGCTCTTCTGTGCCATGAACACAGGTATGGCACACATAGGAGCTTCTCTTCATTTCTAGGTCGCTGAATGCAGCAGATCTACAGCCTGGCTACCGTCGAGTTATAGCTGACACATACCACAAGCAAGGAATAAACCTTTGTTGTTGTAAACCACTAAGATTTTAGAGTCTTTATTACTGCAGCAAAACTGACTAGTACTGAAGGGAACCTACAAGCCTTTGACAGGAAGCAGTCCATGGAGATGGTTGTAAAAGTGCAAAAGCCATAATCTAAGGAGGTGTGATTAGAAGGTGGGAAATAGAGTCAGGCACTGAAGAATGGGAATTTGGGCTTGGTCTGGTAAATTCTCTAAGTTCTGTCATATGACATAACGGTTACACATAGGAGCTCTGAAGCCAGATGCATGCATTCTAATCCCAGCTCCTCCATTTGCAAATTGTGAGTCCTTAGTCAAGTTACATAATATCTTCTCTAAAATAGGGTAATAAACAGAATTTAACTCATTGATTGTTATACAGGAGGATTAAATGTATTAATACATAGCACTTTGAATACTGTTTTGTCTATATTATGCACTCAATAGTTAGCTAGTATTAATGTGAGAATGTTTTTTTTCCCCCATTATGCTACACTACTCTGCTTTTTGCTAAGACAATACAAAACTACCAGAACTGTGAACATAAGCACTGATCAATGGATGTAGGTCTAGAAGGAATTAGAGCAAGACAAATCAAAAAGTCAGAATAATGAGTCCAATGAGAAATACTTTATCTATCATCTCTCTCTCTTTCTCTCTCTCTGTCTTTACTCTTCCTTTCTATTTCCCTGTGGATTGGCCTCTAAAGAAAAATGTGCTTGTCAAAGGCAAAGGCAGACTTTAAAATGGCTTTGCTTTTTAGCTGAATTGCTGCTATTATTATTATTTTTTACTAGAAAAATTTAAGCATACACAAAACTGGAGACAAATGTACAAGAACCCCTGTATATCCAGCACCTAAATATAATAATCATCAACTCATGACCATTCTTGTTTCTTCTTCCCCTGCCCCACTGGATTATTATGAAGAAAATCCCAGCTGTCACAGCATTTGGTTGAATAACTTTGAAAAATCATTTGCAATTAATCTTTTTCTAATAAAGGATAGCATGTTTGGACTCAGAATATTCTCATTACGAGTTACATAGCATCAGAAAATTAGAGTATAATAATTAACTGGTGGGTGGTATATCAGCTTGTTAAAATATAAACTGTGGGCTGTGATCATGGGCTAGAGCCAAGAGACTGCCACATAGGCTTCCCGCACGGCTTCAAGGCTCTTCTTTTTGGAGTGCCGTGGTATGAGAGAGACTTGTAAGAGTGACACTTTACAAAACCTTAAGAACAAATTAATGCAAAAATATCAATTCACTTTATTTCAATATATATTTAAAGACCACCGAGAATGCAATATGCTTTAGTATTTAGGAAAATAGGTGAGTTCAAGATGGGCTCTGCCTTTATAGTTTAGTGAGGATTAGACAAATGTATAGCTAGTTATAACCCAAGGCAGTTTGAAGATTTTAGTATAGAATTCCAAACCAAAGGCTATATCATCATAGAGGGAGTGTGAGTAAGTTTATATGTGGGGGGTGAGACAAAGAGAGACAAGTTTCATAAAGGAAGAAATTTTTAAGTTTAGCTTTTAAAAAATGAGTAGCATTTTGACAGGTGGACTGCGGGGGGAGGTGAAAGCCAGAAAAAAAAAAAAAAGGAAAGAAAGAAATCTTAAAAGGTGTGAAAATAAATATACATGTCTTAATCCAGAAATCTGTGATGTTTTGGATCCCAGTTATGGAACATTTTTCCAGTGTTATGTAAGTCCAAGTGATATTCTAGAAACTTATTTTTTAATAGATGTCTTGTGCTGGCATAAAACTTTTTCTGCATACTGATGAAATTTAGTGGGCAAATCAAATAATGTAACATTTATATTCATTTTAAATATTCCCATAAAACTGGAGTTGGCAAATGATAGCCCTTAGGCCAAATCTGTCCACTGCCTGTTTTGTACATAAAGTTTAATTGGAACACAGCCACGCCCATTCATTTAGTATTGTCTATAGTGTTATGAGGCTACAATGGCAGAGTTGGGTAGTTGCAAGAGACAATCTGTCCTGTAAAGCCTTGCAGATTTACTCAGGGTCAGGACCAGAGTTGTAACCATGGGCCCACCAGGAACAGTTTGAATTGATCCCATCTTATCAACAGAGTAATTAAGAGTTGGTTTTTAGAAACTGAGAGCCGACCTCTTGCCCAGTTCAGGCTAGTTAAGACCACTAACCTATCAACTGGGCCTGTGCAAATGCCTGATAGGTGACCCTTTTGACATCACGGGGCTGAAAACTCCACCCTTAGATCACGCTAGCACCACCATTTTGTGAATGTGTGTCCTATGAAGAGCCATGAAGCTTGACACTTGCACAGATCATAAATTGCCTCTCTTCTCCTTGCCTCCAAGCATCTATCTCCACACTTCAAACCACCCTGCCCTTATATCCCACAAATTTTGTCCCAAGCCCTGGATCGGGGAGACAGATTTGAGAGTGTTGCCTACTGTCGGCTTGCTGGTTGACCTTGAAACAAAGCTTTCTCTTTTCTCAAAAGCTGATGCCATAATAATTGTTTTCTTGTTTTTTTTTAATGTGCATCAAGCAGAGAACTCCCTCTGTGTGGTAACAAGGTGAAGTGAGTAAGATGCCTAGGGTGCAAAATGTAAGTAGGCACGCGTTCTCAGCATCCTGCACGACCCTGAGAGAGAGATCGTGCTTAAATTTTGTGTCTTGGATGCCTCACTTGCCTTACCCCAGTCCTGGCCCTATATTTGGTACTTGGCTCTCTACAGAAAACTTTTTCCAACTCCTGTTATAAAACAAAAGGCTTTTTAGCAGATTATATTGGTAAATCATTTAGTTTTCCTGGGATAAAACGAAGTCTATTGATTCTAGAATGGACAAGAAGAGTGGGCAGTGATGGATTTAACATTCATTAATTTACGGTAATATTTCACTGAAGGGCGCCACTCCAAAACATGCCACTTTGGCATAAGGAGAATTTTGAGCTAAAGGCAATTGAGATCCAGCAGACACAGAAAAGCTCTTGACCTCCCCCTCAGTGCCTAAAAATAAAGTATAAATTTCCCCTTTTATAAAGGAAATTTCCATTTCTAAAAGAAATTTCATTTGTAGAGATGTCTCTGTACTGGGAAGAGAGACAGCTCTTATCACCTGAGAGACTCTAATTTGTGTAACAAGACAACCCTTATTTATCATACATTTCTTCCCCTCACCTTCCCGTAACTAGCCTCCCCTGCCCAGAAGACCAAAACCTCTTTTTTTTTGTTTAGCCAAAAGTGGTATAAAGCCTCAATCATCTGGCTGTCTCCTGGAGCCATGTTTCTTTGTGAAATTTGGTGAGTACATATATAATTGAAACTGTTTTTCTCTTGTTAATCTGTCTTTTATTAGTTTGATTTGTGAGCCTCAGCCATTGAACCAAGGAAAGTAAAGGGAAAAAGATTTTTCCTCCCCTACATCGCTAAATGGATCCACCACTTTTCCACCATTTCTGCAAAGTAGCCTAGAGCGAGGACTGTCAATTGTAGCATGGATGATTTGGTCAAATAGGATTCATTTGTTGGTCTTTTCCTTTTTTTGTTTATCTCATATGATATAATTTTCTTTTTTAGATATTTCCCCAAGCAGCTTGCATTATTATAAACTTCAGGTTATACGGACAGATTGTTTTCTATTTTATGCATTTTGAAACAGTGCATGCATTGAGTTTAATAAAATTACTCTCATAAAATGAAAATAATATAAAATATATTTTTACAAATTTACAGAAGCATACAATAGGAGATTGGCCAGAATAAGTGAAAACTCAAATGGAATGCGAATGACTCTTGCCCCTTCATTCTCTAGTGATTTTTCATCCACTCTGCAGGCTATTCTGGAGAGCACTCTGAATATGCCCCAGTTTCTAGTGCTTCTAATGGAACATTTTCCCGTATGAATCCTATTGTCACTTCAGTGACGGCATTCTTTTCAGAGAAAATTGCTTTGGAATAGTGTTTCCTGTGAGCTTTTGTCCATCTTCTTCTAGCTCTTACCATAGAAAACATTTCACGTTGTATAGTTTGAGGGCCTCACAGCGCTAGTGCTATAAACAACGAACTGAACCAGAGACCCAGATATAATGAGAATATGTTGTGAGACTTTTAAATTCCTTCTTATAAGAATATACAGCAACTCCGTTAGGAAATTAAAATTGTTAGTGTATTGAAACCTCATGAATAGATATAAAATATTATGTAATAAAAAAATTCATTGAGTAAACATTAGATTCTAACAAAATAATGCAAATAGTAGGAAATGAAAGGATGCATTTGGGGTTTTCAAAGCATTTTAGAGTGAAAATAGTTTTTTTTTTTTTCCAACAGCTGTGCAACAAAGTAAATATCAAGTAGAGATAAATAGAATAATTGTCTTGATGCTCCAGGTAAAGTTAGAGATCATAATTTTCAATGGATATAATCAATATGGGTTACTAGAAATAATTAGTATTCCACATGCAAGAGTAGAAAATTGAATATATAACATTTACCCTAGGTCAAAATAAAAAGCTTAGAAAAGATGGTAGTGTGATCGTCTTGGATAATTAAGAAGGCAAAGCACAGAGAAACCAAAGGGTGGTTGAAAATAATAAAATACATAGTGGTGTGTGCATTGTCACCATTCTCAGCATATTTTTGCAGTTCGGAAGCCCTGCTAACCAAGGTCCCTAGAAATGCAAATTAGGGGGACAAATGACTGGATATTGTTTACACATCCCACATGCTCAGGAAGAAAACCACCCTTCCCACACTCTCCAAAGTGCCCCCACTCCATCCTCGATCAAGTGGTACACAATAGGCTGCATATGTGGTGTTTAGCCCTTCCTCAAAAGAACCTGGCATAAGTCTCAGTAGGAGACAGGATATCAGAATAAATAGGTCATTGTTCCGTTCCATTAGGGCGATTCTGGTGTTCCTGTTGCTTGACAAAGACACAAGTGCCAGGAAGTGAGGTTGATTGTTTCATAGAGCTCACATTTTAAAGTTCTCCTCAGTTGCTTCTTTTGAGTAGTTCCTCTGCTACAAACTCATCTGGGAAAGAGGTCTTGATCACAATTCCATGGGGAGATAGCTGTTTCTTTTACTCTACTTCTCCTGTTCACCATCTGTTATTAATTACTTAGTTTCATTTGGTAGGTATTTTAAAAGTACAAAAGTGAGCAAGCAGCCTCAGATCTGGCTTGGGGAAGATCTTGTGTTATAAGCGGAGTGAGAAATTCTTGTGATCAGCATCAGTAGACTTGTAGAAGTCAGGTCATGGGTTGATGATATTTCTTCTTTTCATAGTAATGAGGACACATTTTAACTACTCTTCTCTGTGTAGGATCTAGGAAGCAACTGGATTTAGAAATTTTGGAAAGGTGCCTATATAATTTTGCCAGGGCTGCCATAACAAAGAACCACAGACTGGGTAGTTTAAACAGCAGACACGTGTTTTCTCACAGTCTGAAGACTAGAAGTCTAAGATCAAGGTGTCAGCAGATTTGCTTTCTTCTAAGGCCTCTCTCCTTGGCTTGCAGATGGCCACCTTCTCACTATGTCCTCACATGGTCTTCCCTCCCTGTGTGTTTGTGTCCTGATCTCCTCTTCTTTAAGGACACGAGTCATATTGGATTGGGACTCACCCTCATGACCTCATTTAACCTTAATTACCTCTTTAAAGGCTCTATCTCTAAACACAGTCACATTCTGAGGTATGGAGGGTTAGGATTCTGAAGGGCTTCAGAATAGATGTGAACATCCCCAAGATGTGCCACTTTGGCATGTGGAATAGTTGAGCTAAAGGCAATCGAGACCCTTTGGT